TCGCGCGTACACGTACGACGACGCGCGGCGAGTTAGGAAGGTAGGCGCGAGGGGAAACTGCGAACTACTCGCGGATTCTTGCCGTATGTTAACACGCGCCACCTTATGCCCATCTTAATGTCGCTTTACGAGAGAGCTAATTGTACCAGGAGAGATATCGCCAAGAGATTGGGTCCATAATCGGCTTTACGGCACTCTTAATACGAATGTATATTCCCTGAATGCGTTCCTCTCTGCCGTTCTTATCACGATGCCTATTCTTTCATTCTGCTTCACTCTTTCCTTTCACTTTCTCTCTTTTTTTCTCTCTTTTCGTATTATATGTTTTATTTCTTTATACTTAATTGCCTAGTAATAATAGCTAGTATAGTTAATAATAGCCATAATAACAAGAATGTAGGTTTAAGACTCAGTCCTTTTCTAATTTTGCGCGATTCACGAGGCGAATCTATTGCGACAACAGCAGAACGGATCGCTGTTCTCGACAGTGACACACGAGACGCAGACCTACCTGGTGGCGGTGTCTAAAGGGCGTCGCGAGCAGATATATATCGTCGCACGAGAGGCGGACAGGTATACTCGGAGCTAGCACGAAAAAGGGAAAATCTAAACTGGTCGCTTAATCTGTCGTTCGTGACAGGACTCCGACAATCTACCGCGGCCGAGAAATCGCCGCGGCGCTCGAGGAAATCGAACGGCCGGACAATTTTTACCGTGCTATTCTCAGAGTGTTATCTCCTTCGCCGGACTGCCACTTTCGTTCCGTTCGCCGTCGTCAAAGACGTGCTCCTTGATTTTCCTTAAGTGTTGCGCTTAATCGCTGGCCATCTGTTCACGGTTTAATCTTTTGGCGACTGCACCGGCAATATCTTTTTTACATTCGCTTAATCTCTCAAGCATTTTATATTATCTTTACGTGTGTTATTTTATCTCATCAAATCGTTTCACTGATTTAGCAGAAGCTGAAGTATAATCGTTAGATATCAACACGATTCGTTGTGATACGCAGTACATAGTTAAACATTCGAAGGACAATTTTTATGCACCGTACGTGCATCGTTGACTCTTTGAAGCGTTTCATCCTCTTTCGCCGTCCGATCGTGTACCGCTCGCCGGAAATCATTGTTACTCGCTTAAGTGTCTTTTCGAATTCTCGTCGTCACCGGAAGCTCGGCGGATTCCCGGCCGAGATCGTAAAAAATCGAAGTTTAATGTGGTGACTCTGGTCGCATGGAAAGTAGTACAGACTATTTCGGTTAGGAATGACGCTTTTGTGCCGGCTGTGTCCTCAATCGTCGTTGTCGTGGTTTCGACTTTTCGGGCGAGTCCTCATTGTCGAGCGATGAATAAACCCGTCCCCTGAATCACGCGCCATTTTCTCGATCGAGAAGAGGGAGAGGAGCAAGGCGAGAAACGTTGACAAATTTTGCGATGTCGGTCGTGCATAATACGCAGACGGTTGAGGCCCCGAAAAACAATGACATTTGCATCATAAATAAGTGCGACGTCTGACTTGAAGAATCTCGGTCGCCTTCCGGCGCACGATTCTCTTAATAAGCGAGCGAGATTTTGCAAATTAGTGCATTGGGGCTATTCGAATAACGAAGCCGAATGGGAGGAAGAAACGAGGGAGGAAGAGACTGAGTCAGGTCGCTCGCATTCATATGCGACGCGTCACAACGAATTGCTGTCTTTCGGCGATTCTGCCCGCGGCTCTGTTTCACGCTCGGCCTTCAAGCGACCTGGCTCTCCTTTATTTGAACGCGTTCAGGACGACGAATGTGGAATTTGGACGACACCCGAGAAACCAAAGGCACATGAAACAGGGACGCACATTATGGTGCAATTATTATAGCCGCGGTACTCTCTTAGAAGAAGTAAAGACTTTCTACGCTGATATTTGAATTTCATTTATTATTTATCGATTGTAGAATTTCATTTTCTTCATATTTATTTCGCACAAATAAATCGACGAAAGGATTTTTTATTCTTACGATTGTAAGCGATATTGAACATCATCGCGCGATAATCGATCCGTTCCTGAATATGTGTAACATTATATTTTCAATCTTTCGTAAGTTCGCAAAACATGCGCGCAAACATCCTCGCGGTACCAAAAATGGAAGAAAGCCGTTGGGAAAGATCCGGAGCAAAAGGGGCCACAGTTATCGTCGTCGTCGTCGTCGTTGTCCTCGCTGTCGTCGTCGTGTGCGAAGAAAACAGGAGGGAGCAGGAGAGATCGCCCTCTTCTCAATGTTACGCAGAGAATTCGAGGCAGTCGTTAGTATGCTAATGAGTGTCCCTCGTTCTTCGTCCGTGACCGCGGTGCGCAACCGCTAAATTATTTCAAATATTTCCAAATGTTTGTCGCGCGTGGAGACTAGATCGACTTCGAGTTAGGAGTTGGGGATCGTAGAGCTTAGAGCTTAGTGTGCACCTGCGTGGTGCTTGGTACGTGTTAATGTGCATACGTATAATTTCCGCCGCTATATTTTTGTGTCCCTCTTCCTTGTCATCCTTCGTCTGTCCTCTCAGGATCAATGGCGCCGTTATATTTCTCGCGATAACATCGAAACTGTGAGAGCATCCACGTAGCGTTTTTTTCCCGCTGGTATATAATTATACAATCAAAATGACGTACGCGATATTAATTTCTTGGACGGGATTGCATTTCCTTATACGATTATATCGGATGATTCGCGATCGTTAATTAAACACACGAGGCACAATTAATTTCACTTATACATGAGTGATAATAACTATATCACGAATCGATGACCAACGGTCGTAAATATATAACGGAAAGAAGGCAGAACTGCTTTCCGAAGGGTCATGATTAATTCTGTGTAATAAAACCTTTCTTAAACCTTTATGATAAAAATCCAGGTTAATTTCGATACCGTTATTTAAAAATGACAAATTCGATTAAGAGATACGTAACCGCCCTTTTTATTCCAGAATATATCACCTGACGCGTAACGATATATTCTCCTTTCTAAAGGGAATCTCCCGGATCATTTTCGTTCACGAGAGGAGAGTCTAATTGACCTGAAAGGCGTTATCTGCTACTTCGTCTCCGGGAAACCGAACGCGCGAGTAAGGGTAACCATTATCTGTTGTTGCCTTAATGAGATCCAATTACTATCGGATGGGTCACTTAGTATGCGGTACCGATATTCTACGGTGTATAGCACACATTAGTGGGACAAAAGGACAAGAGCCAAGGGTCAACACCCTTTGAAGATCTAAGCACGGCCTAACGAGACTCGATCGTCGTCGTCGTCGTCGTTTGTCGGGACGATATGCGTGTTTGCGCACTATACGCGTACGCATTCCGGTGCACGTGCGCAACCCGGAATCCACCTGTTGAATATTACTCCCTACTGTGTCGACCCTCGCGTCCGACACGCGGAAGCGAACCGCTATCGAGACAAGATCCTTCCTTTCGTAGCTTTCCGTTCCTGCGCATATCCCATATTTGTCCCGAGGAAACAGACATATCTGTTCCTTCGAGACGATTTTCCGGAGAATTTGTTTCGCAGCGTTGTCGCAAAATCTTTGAACTACAAATTGTCACTTCGGAGTAATGAGACATCAGAATAAAAGGCTAAGAAGAAATCAAATCCTTTACTGTACAATTATTGTGGTGGAAGTAATAGCGCGCACACGTTTCGAGACATGTTATACGTTATTATTTCCAGAACACTCATCGCGATTCACCGCAACGCAAAGCTTCGTCGAACGGGGACGATCCAAGATAATCGATTAGTCGCACTCGAGTCTCTCGTCCACTTACGGATTCGAACCGGGCAGAAGATTTTTTTCTCAGTTACTTCTCGCACGCTCGCCTTTTCCGCATATCGGACTTTCTCACCTCTTTTCGTTGGCCGTGATTACTTCGCGAATCCCTACCATTGCAATCTTTTCGTTTTCGCATCCGTCACGGCTTATTAAGTTGTCTCTTCTTTAAACTAGAGTGCGAAACGCATCACATACGTCAACTCATCGCCGGCGTATCGACTTTTACGACTTCACGAAGTCCTCGCAGCAGGTTAAAACCGCGTAGAAACTACTTCCGTCCGCTTTTTGCCGACGATTGTCTTTCCGAAGAGACGAATCGATAATAAATCACTGCTGCACTTTGTTATATTTCCTCACAAAATTACACGTTTTAGAAATCTATATTTCTCCCTTGCTGAATTTTGTGTAATGTGTTACTTTTTTTCGCTAATAATAGAAATTAAGTACTGCCGAGAAAAACTAAATAATGCATTAATTTATTTCAATCTTTAATTTATAGTTTAAAGCATTCAAATTTCATATAAAGCGTCATATACACGCGATAAGCATATAGTTTATTAGGTTTATTATGTAAAACCTAGTAGTTTTTTAAGTTACAGAATTAATGTTATCGTTTTGTTTTTTCTGCTCTGTTCTTTTTCTTTCTGTTTGGTTAAACTTTTATTGCATTTATTTATCTGCATTTGAGTTATTATTATCGCGCACAAATGATTGGAAGAATATTGTTTAGGCCTAAATAACTTAATATTTTTGGAGTAATTGTTTAGAAAGTGGGAAAGCCTTGTCTAATATTTTTCAGAAGCTTTTATATATCTAAATATTGTATTTTTGACATATTTTTTTATCTTTTTATTCACTCATTTAACCCTGTACCAATTTTCTCTCAACCATGCATTGCGAAGTTCAAGTTATAATTTTGCGAAATGTGAAGATAGAATTACTTACTTATTACTTGAAAATACAGCGGAACTGCCACGCTCGACTTTGTAATTACGCTTGCGTTACTCTTTAAAGTGTGTAGAATTTGCATCACAAATGTTACATAACGTGCGACTCGACAATGAACGGCGTGTACGACGAGACGTCGCCGTGTGAATTCTCGGCGTCACATCACAAAGTCCGCATACGCGAAATGTAACCCGGATTTATCCGGCAGTTTCATTACTTACAAAACTTGGTTGTCATCTGATTCTTCTTACCTTGCAACCCTCGCACGTAAACGCCCCGAAATGAAACCCCGCTGCGGGTTCGTCGCATACCCTGCACTGTTGGTTCATCTGCAATTATAGAAATTATAGAAGTTATTCGAAGGAGATACGTCAGAGTCAGTTACTTCGGCTCATCCTTGGAAGAATAAAGTGCGGTGTTACAGCATGGTGGGGCAGCGAACCGGTTTTCTACGTTTGCTTCGATTTTTATTCCTCCCACGATATCTTACGGATGTTCGAACAGGATTTGGAGTACGAGAAAAGTATAAATTGGAAATATGTTGGGGCTTCGAAGCGAATATGCTAATGATAATAGTATAGAGAAATTATTCCGAGTGTAACATCTGTCAATGTTGATTGTTTTATTTGTTGATAAAGTCGCCTATGTATTAACAGATTACACTATATAACGCGTTACGTAAATTCGCAGTGATATATCACGTTCGTACGAACGACAGTATTTTGTGTGTATCTTTCGGTAGAGATTCGGTATTTTTTTAGTCGATTATATCTTCGCCCATGGGCATGAAATGGATATCTGAAGAATCATTAGGTTCCCTTTTTTCCTGAATCTACGTTTCCCCACCCTGTTGTAACACTCGAATCGAAACCCGTTTTAACCCACTGGCATGTCATAAATCAGCGCTATCTCGGCAAACGGTGCCATCTGCCTTGACTGTGTGTCGGAGCGAGGAACCTATTTTTCGAATAAACTGGAATAAAATTAGACCATTGATGATCCGATAAGGATATGTTACGGTCGGCGTTCCTCATCGTGCGAGTATTTCGATCATCGCGGTATAAAAATCCCCGATCCTAAAATGATAGAAACCGGAGGAACCAGCTCTCAAAAGTTTACGAATCGTATCTTTATAAAGTTGTATTCTTTATTCTGTTGCTTTTGTGGCGCAGTTATAATAAAAAGATCGAGTTATAGTTCAAGTCGCAATGCGTCTCTTTCTTTCAGATAACAAATGCAAAACACACTCATAGAGAGAAAAAAAGAGAGGTGAAGAGATCTTGTCCAAAGTAGCCACCATGAAATGCATAATACGTTTCTTTATTCGTATCTGTCGCAAATGATACTATATTGTGACAAGCTGCGCACGTCGAATGATACGTTAAGAGTGCGTGCAAAAAAATTAACTGCGTTTACCCGTCGCGAATACTCGTGAGCCGTTTCGGGACGGGGACCACCTGCGGATTCGTTGATTTAAAAATATAACCACGACCGGTAGTCGTGCGGGTTGACGTACTCAGCCTGAGAGACGAAGTTCCTCGAAGGGACGCTCTTTTTTTTATGCAAGATGAGAAGAAGAGCACTTTAACGAGAATTTAGAGTGACGGTAATTAGAGCTCCAATACGACACGATCTCGCGCGCGCTGCGTCTAGTCAAGTCTTTGTAATTGCACCTCCGAAGAAAATGGGCTGCCGCTCGTATTTGTCGACGAAGACGGACGGTAAAACGAAAAGAAAACAAACTAGAGAGAAAGAGTCGGTCCACAGGTTCGTTAAGGTTTCAAGTTTTTTCGCGGCGCGGTTGCTTAACACCCGCTAACCCTCCTCCTTCACTCGCTGCACATTCGTTGATGATGGAGCGAAAAACTCTTTCTTTCTCTCCTATGCGATCTGCTTGACCGGATCAAATGTTTATTCGATCGAATTTCACGATTTTCGTTCATGATAATCATTAGGACGATCAATTATAATCAGCTAATGATTATAATTCGCGTTATAGTCCGCGTGTCTGTACCAATTTTGATGCTAATTGCAATGCCATTTTTCAAAGAAGATTTCAGAAGAATACGCGTTTTGACTCGTGTTCTCTGCGAATATTATATAGATTTAAATTATAAAAAACTTGTAACAGAATTACATTACAGTAAATAACGGTTGTCATTTACATTAACCGTTATTTACATTAATATAATTCTGTTACAAGTTTTTTATAATTTAAATAGACTCTAAAGTATATTGTTTATTTAAATTATGGGATTTGAATAATAATGCGCTCTCACATATGTACATTTCTTGCTCTCAGTTAATTAAAATTTATTCTATGTATTTTCTAACGTTGCATTATAACGTGTGTTATCTTTGTAATATGTCTTTAAAATATTCGTGCTCGAAACACTCAGCGTCAATATGGATCTCGGCCGACTATTTCTTGACATTTCTAACGCATTTAAATTAGAGACTCGGCCTAAGTGGGCTTAAAAGTCCGAGCAACGAAACCTAATACAAAACTAAATAAAGCAGAGTATATGTATAACGGAGCCACCGGAATCGTACGTGCTCTCGGGCTAACAGATGCTGGAACGGCGCGGAATGTACATCGGGGAATATGAATACGAATAAGAAAACAATAAGCGCGAAAGGTCGAGACGCGAGAGGTAAAGGCCGAGATGCGAGCGTCGGAGGTGGAGCAATCGCGAGCGTGGCGTAAAAAAATTCCATCGCCCTAATAACCAAAGGAGAACAGAACGCCTTCGAGGAGCGGTGTATGCGCCGTGATTTGCAATAAATCACAGAGATCACATAAGTCAGGCCTTCGCGGTGGACGGTGCGTCGCGCCGTAATCGGTAAACCGTACACTATTTACGCGGCTGATTCTGTTGATTTTACAAAAGATCACGCTAGAATTGTTATATCGACGGCAGTCCAATGGAGATCAATGTGGGCCAAGGTTAATCTATATCGTCGCGACGGATCGATTTCTTTGTACGCGTTGTGTCGACTTCGAAATATCTGCTCGACCCTGCCGATTCGTTTCGCATACAAATTCGTATAGAATATCGGAGAACACTTTAATCAATGCGTGCATCGATGCGATGGTCGCGTAAAAAGAAAAAAAAATATACACGTGACTTCTTTCAATTTGGTCACCGATGTCGTTGACTTCGGTGGATCGTAGTTCGTGGTGCAGTGCACGCGGAACAGGTGAAACGGGAGAAGAGTCAAGAAGAAAAGGGGGTCACACGGGGGAACCAACAGTGTAAACACGTGGTACCTCGTACCCCAGTTTCTGTAGATAGAGTCAATATTTGCCCGACATCGGTGCGTTAATGAAGTCGATCGACTTGCCATACCTGCTCCAAATATCAACTTACGGGCCACGACGATAACGACGAAGATGACGACGAGACCAGAATGGTCACGTGTGATTCTTTTGCTAGCTTCCCGTGTACGTGCTCACACGCGTCTATGCGGTCCGTATATACCTGCAGATGGGGGCACTCCGTAGTTTACGCGCCATTAAACACGAGTCCCGTGTGACGTTTATCCCTTTATGAGGCGTTTTTTGACCTGAGCTTCGGGAGCGCTTTCTTTGTCGTTCTTACCCCTCGCTACCGTTACAACCCTTTCTCCGTGCCGACTTTGCGTGCCGCTTGATCATCATCTTTGTAATCATTTCGGTAATCAACGACCGAATTCTTTCTTTGTATTTTCTACGATGGAAATGAACGAAAACGTTCACGCACATTCATCGGAAAAAAAAGTAAGAAATATATTACGTTACAGTTGAGACTTTTCTCTCCGCTGAAAGCGCCAAGTCACTATCTCCCTGAGGACAATATGTAAATGAAGCTAATTACGTAATGTGTTTTCTATATTGTAACAAATAATTTTCTTGAACCTCGAACTAGTTCACGTCAGTTCGAAGTTCTCGTATCAGAGTGAATAATGACTAATAATAAAAAGCGCACGTGATTCATGTGGGTCACGAGTGTGAGGCATAAGCTGCATAAAAAGAAGTGAAAAGATTACGAAAACATCTCGATTGCTTGCGACAGTTGCCAGAGAAAGAAAACGTGTCGTTCGTTGAAGAGACACATAGAATTAGATAAAATTAGTGACTTCTCAGCATGTTTGTATAGCATCGTCGTCGAAACAACAGTCTACATAATATTTCTCCGTATTCGACTCTTGTAATGTTTATAGTTTAAAGAAGGTGGACGACTCTTGGGACACTCTACCCACACATATTCGTCTATGAAGATAGATAAATGGTGATCGCTTGCGTTTGAAGGTGCTAATTCGAAATACTCGATATTACGTGAGGGTCATCCGTTACGAGGAATCTTGTTTTACGAGACACTTTGCGCAAACAGGGTATAATCATTTTTCTGTGACTCGCAAGCTTGTCCGCCGTTATAATTCTTCGCGGCAACGAGAGTACACATTAGAAGCGCAGTTTGCGCGATATAATTAATCGGCGGTATATTAATTCACATATTTATTACACACTGCGTTAAGAATGAGCACTTGATTACTGTCCAGGCCGTGATATACGGCCGGTGATTTTTCTCAGTGCGTTAATGAGTCAATGAATCTACTCGAAAGAAGGAGTCGATATATCACCCGGGATACGCGTTCGAGTACGCTCGCGCGCACGTTTGCGCACGAAAATTCCTCGTCTCGATGTTATCGGCGCTTAATTATGCGCGGAAGGATTACGCTCAAATAAATGCATACGCCGTATATAATCGACTATTACCGGATTACATAAAATAAACAGGATCTTGCGCGTACACACACGAGTGTGAAGAGTCTTCGGCAAAGCGGGAGGCGAACGATGGAAAAAGACTTCGGGAAACTGGTTCTCTCACCGAGCATGAACGATAACATTAGTTGAGGACAGAAAGTTTTTAACGATCTTTTAGATAGTCTAGACGAAACTTTGTAAATAGTCTGTGATCAATAAAATACTCTTTTTTTGTATAAATAATCATGATGTCAATTTACATTAAAGCACAATAAAATCTGGTTTTTAATGACTAACTTGGAAAAAGATAATCTTGGAAAAACGTTTCAGTGATTTTAAATAAATCTCTTTTTTAAGTAAACTAGTCTCTTTTTTAGATATGGATTAACGTGCACGCGTTGATTTTATATTGAATGCAATTTTATGTGTAATATCACGTAAATATAATCGATTAATTATCATTATTTATGGTAAATAAAAAAATAGTGTCACTTTTTTTTACAAGTAAAATGTGTCACCTATGCTACTCATACGTATTATATATATATGATCAAAACGAGAGAATGCAGTTTGCCGTATTGT